GTATTTGAAAGCTTTTATCATGTTCCCTCTTAATCTTCTCTTTTCCAGGCTAAACAAAGCCTATTATTTCAATCTTGTCTCATAGGTCATGTTTTTTAGATCTTTAATCTTTTCTGCTCCTCATCTCTGGACCACTTCCAGTTTGTCCACATCTTTCCTGAAATGTTGCAGAAGAGGATTCTGGCCTGGGGAAGGGGCACTGGGAGAGGGTACAGGATCTGGGAGGGATCTGTGACCTGGAAAAAGGGATGCAGACTGCAGAGGGTGTGGGTAGTGACTTGGGGCAGGAGAATGGGGTGCAGAGTCTAGGAGGGTACTTGGGTGTAGTAGAAGATTCTGGCATGGGGGAGGGATGTAGAAAGGGGTACAGAGTCTGGGAGGAAGTTGTGATCTAGGGGAGGGAGTTGGGTTGTGGGACAGGCAGGGGTACCAGAAGCAGGCCCTGGCTGGGAGGCGCTTATCTAAGTATCTCCTGGCCAGCAGGCCTGCAGCACCACCAATGTAGGCTGGACTCCAGGCCTGTTGCAGCCTCAGGCTGCTTGAAACTGCAGGCTGTTCCCTCCATGTGGCTCTCAGCTCCAGGAGGGAGAAGAGGCTTACATTGCCCCCATCCTCCAGGCCAATCTCTCTCCTATTGTTTCCAGGCAATAGGAGCTGAGAGGTTGGCTGGGATCAGAAACGAGGATTGGGTTTGGGGCAGGGAGATCACACAAAGCCTCCCCCTGCCTGCAGAGCAGAGAGTCGCACAGACGGTCCTTTAAACCACAGCAGCTGCGTGCCTGAGGGTCCCGGCAGGGTGGTCTACAGGCTGGATCCGGTGGCTTGGCAGGCCGGATCTGACCACCGAGCTGTGTTTTGCCCAGCCCTGCCAAAGCCTATATCCCCAGCTTGATCCTACACCTCTCCCACACCTCAGTGTTCGTGCCAGCCTGGAGCCCCCTCCCACACTCTTATCTCCCTCTTCTAATTACACACCCAGCCAGAGCCTGCATCCCAACCCCCTAACACAGCCTGGTGAAAGTTAGTGATGGTGGGGAAGAGCGAGTGACTAAGGTGGTGGATAGAATGAGTGGGGGCAGGGCGTTGGAGAAAGGAGAGAACCAGGGTATACAGTTGGCAACCCCACATAGGAATCATCATGAGCCTGAAGCAGTGGTTCTCAAACTTTTTGGCTTGCGTCCCCTTCCTCCCCCCCATCAACGCAGTTCTTTCCATGAACCACCCACCTACCACCTATGATGACAAAATGGGTGCAAAAGGAGGGTGGAGTCTGGGTGGGAGGTTGGGTGCAGAAGCAGGCTGAGGGTGATGGAGGTCTGGGAGGCAGGGAATCGCTAGGAGTGGGCTGTGGGAGGGTTGTCTAGGTGGGAGGGAGGGTGAATGAGTGGGGTTGAGGTCCGGAGGGAGGGTACTGGAAAGGGGTGAGGGTGCATGATCTCAGCAGAAGGGGGTAAAGGGTTTGGGAATGAAGGGAATTGGAGGCATTACCTGGCCATGATTACAGCTAACAGAAGCAGTGGTGAAAGCTTCCAGGTGAGTGATTTCCTGCACTGCCATTCCGCCAGCTCGGGGGAGGGAGGCTTCCTCCGTAAGCCTGATCCAGCCCATGAGGCTCCCCCCTCCCACCCCACAGCGGGTAGCACAACGCTGGTGCTCCAACGTCGCAGTGGGATGCTGCAGTGCTGTAGTGCCATCCCAGGTGCTCTGCTGTGGAGGGTGTGAGCCCTGAGCCCACAGCCCATCTGCAAGATGGTCAGTCAGAGGACTATGCTTTGAAAACCAGTGGCCTACAGCAGCAGTTCCCATCTGCCAGGCCACAAACCACTGGCTACTGTCCCATGGCAGCTCTGGGAGCCGGGGTTGGGAATACACCACCCTGCGTCTTCCCTCCTATCGCGGCTGTTGAGAGAGGTGTATCCTGCCCAGCCAGCACCAGGCAGGGGTCTCTTCCTGGCCACAGAAGAGCAGAGCCCAGCACTGTAGCCTTAGAGAAGCCATGACCTGGGCAGCAGCGCTCAGCTGGTGACAGGGAGGCAATGCAGGACTAGATGAGGGAGACAGGACAAGCACTGGGAATGCCAGGAATGGGGCTACTGCTGGAGAGCTCAGAGGTGGGGGGCTCTAACAGTTGGGGGGCTGGCACTGGACTGGGCGTGGGGCTAGTAGTGAGGAGGCTACTGGGGCAGGGCTGGCACTAGGGGCAGGGCTGGCACTAGGGACAGGGCTAATAATGGAGAGTGGGCTCCGGAGGGGGTTGGGTATGGGGAGGGTCTGGAAACAAGTTTGGGACTGGGGGATCTGGTGGGGGGGACTTTAAGGGGCGGAGGGCTGGCACTGAGGCATTTGGGATGGGGGGCTGGCACTGGGGGGTTGGGTGCAGGGGGACTCTGGGGTTAGTGGTTGATGCTGGGGGCTAGTGGAGGAGTGGAGGGCTCTAAGGATTGGGGCTGGCACTGGAGGGTTTCGGGGGCTGGGGCTTTTTATACTGCACACTGGTAAATCTATTCACAAACTTTTGGTGGACCGTAACATTTATGTACATATTTGCATGTTAATTATTTGCCTAATGAATATGCAAATATTCAAATAAAATGTTTCTGGTATGCCAAAAGTTCCTGAATGGATTTGCTGGTCTGCGCTATAAATAAGGTTGGGAACCACTGGACTAGAGGTTGCAAAGAATGTCACGATGGCAAAAAGAGGAGGAGACCAATTAATAGCAGTGTGGTTGATAAGAGAGTAGGTTGATATGTGTGGTGTGAGCAAATGCCCCCAATAAGGTAAAGAAAGAAAGCTTTAGAAATGAGCTGGCAGAGTTGCTGGTTATAGTTTAAGAATAGGACTGTCAATTTAATCTCAGTTCTTCTTTGAGTTATTGCTCATATTGATTCCAGTTAGGTATGTGTGCTCTGTGTGCACAACCAGCAGAAGGTTTTTCCCCTAAGGATACTCTTTGGATCGACTGTGGAGCCCCCTGCAGTAGCACCCCGTTTGGTGGGGAATATAGACTCCTGCTGACCCCTCCGCCTTCTCAGTTCCTTCTTATTGCCTGTGATGGTCATTGCAGCTACTTTGTTCTTTTGCCTTAGGCAAGCTCTTCTCCTAGCTCACAGTTATTCTTGTACTGAACAATATACTTACTACAGGTTTTCTTGTGCAGTTAGTTCTTAGATAAAAACCCTGATTTGACAATGATAATGTTCTCCTGTGACTTTGGAAAAGTCACTTAATTATGTCACCTCAATAACCTCATCTGTAAAAATCACAAGGAATAATTAATGTTTGTATAATACTTTGACAATTAAAAGTGCTAAATAAGTGCTAAGTCAAGGGTGGGGAACCTAAGGCCCGAGGGCCATAGCTTGCCTGGGTCTGGCCCCGGAAGGTCAGGGCTCTTCCCCTCCTCCCCCCCCAGCATTGGGGAGCCCGCGCTATTACTCCAGCCTACTGCTGCCTCCCCATGGGGCTGGAGCACACACAATCTACTAGCCTAGGCTTTGTCATTCGGGGGCCCTCGACCCCAAAACCCCAAAAAGGTTCCCTACCCCTGTGCTAAGTCTATTGTATTAAAATGAATTTATTAGCTTCTCTAAAATTCTCTTGCCTCTTTTCATTTTATGCCTGCTGATTATTTCCTCTCCCTGCATATAAAGTACAATTCTACAAATGTTAATATCAAAACTCCCTTTGTTACTTAACTTTTTTCTCCTCACCAGGTAAAATAGTCACCTATCCTTGACCCCGCTTAACTCCAACTGCCACCTCTTTCATCCAAAAGCTGATTGAAGCACAGTTTACAATCACTTTCTGGTGTTCCTCTCCACCAATTCCATCATAGAACCTCTTCAGTCTGACTTCTGCCCTGTGTGCTACATTGACACCACACTTGTCAATGTCCCTAATGAACTCCTTCTAAGGGGTAGCCGAGTTAGTCTGTAACAGGAAAAACTTAAAAAACAACAAATAGTCTAGTAGCACCTTCAAACTAACAAAACACGTAGATGGTACTCGGGTTGCCAGATACTTTCACACAAAATATCGAACAGGGTGGAAAAAAAATTCATTGAGCAAAAAAAAAAAATTAATTCCCATGCCAGATGGTATACGTGTCTGATATTTTCTGGTGGTTTTTTTTTTTGTTTTGTTTTGTTTTGTTTTGTTTTTAAACCAGACAGAGGCCTCAAATACCAGACTTTCCGGGCCAGTACCGGAGGGGCATGAAAGCTCATGATACCATCTACATGTTTTGTTAGTCTTTTAGGTGCTACTAGACTTTGTTGCTGTTTTTTAAGGAATTCCTTCTAGTTGAAGATAAAAATCAATACTCTGTCTTTCTCTTTCTTGACCTGTCAGCTGACTTGTTGCAAAGCTGAGGTTTGAACTTCAGGTTCCTCTCTGAGGGTGTAACAGGAAGACTGGCAGCACCACTGCACTTAGAAACCCCCCAAAAGCTCTTTACTAAAGTAAAGAGTGCCTAGTGTTCCAGCGTCACTACCTGAAGTACTATTCCTTGTTTCCGTACCAAGAATTGGAAATTACTGCATTCTGCTTTTAGAAAGAAGAGTTGGGGAGGGGTGAAGAAAGGAAAGGAGAAGAGAAAATGACCCTTTTATACCACTCAAGCCATCTTGCAAGTTTAACAATTGTCTAATAAAACAAAGGCCTGTGCATGATTAAACAACCTTCAGAAAAGAAACTAAAGCAGGTTAGAAAAACAAAGCAATAACTGCCCAAATGCTATTTTTATTCTTGGTGGGTCATTTGATATTAGGGTGTAGTATGGAGATTTGTGTATCCCTATCCAAAAATCTGTTCAGGCCTTCCACCTTGTAAAGAGAGGCCAATTCCAAATGAATAAGATGAAGTAGAGGTCTCCGTTCAAGTATTCATTGCAAAATATGAAAGATTGGGAGGGTTCTAGGGGAAAGGAAAATGTATTAGATCATATTTGAAACTTGTTTAAGCTACAGCAGACTTATCATTTCATCTTTGTTTTTCAGAAAACATTGCTATCTGATCTGTAGTTGCAAGAAAAAAGGAGTAATAATAAGAAGGAAATCTCTCTTGGATAAATTGGAAGCGCTTCAAATTTGCAAAGGGATTTAGTGCCAGCTGCTGTAGAAGGTTTTACAAAGCCACCTTTGGCACCAGGATGGATGAAATTCTTCAGACCTAAATGGTAACCTTAATTCTTCCATCATGGTTTTATTTCTCTGATGTAGCCCTCTAAGATAATTTGTACAGATTGTAAAGGATTTTCTTCTTATACCAGTTAGGTTTAAATATAGCAGTCTTACAACAGATACATTCTGTATAAATCTGTAATTTGACAACTTGAATGTATTATAATGAAGTTTGCGGTTTTAGCTTTTATATCTGATGTTTTTGTTTCTTCCATCATGGTTTTATTTCTCTGATGTAGCCCTCTAAGATAATTTGTACAGATTGTAAAGGATTTTCTTCTTATACCAGTTAGGTTTAAATATAGCAGTCTTACAACAGATACATTCTGTATAAATCTGTAATTTGACAACTTGAATGTATTATAATGAAGTTTGCGGTTTTAGCTTTTATATCTGATGTTTTTGTTTGTGGC